TCCTCAAGGGCTTGTGTCCCAGGGCTCCCCAGGTTTGGCTGCCTTTGGAAACAGCTGTGTTGATCTAAGGTGGGCCTGAGAGCTCAGGGCCACCAGGGTTTGCCCCGTCGGCATACGTCTCACACAGCCTGGAAGATCCTGACCACGGGGTGTGCCTGGTCTGTGTAAGCTTCATGCAGCCTGGGAGCTCAGGGCCACTGCAATTTGTCTGGTCTGCGTCCACCTCACACAGCCTAGGAGCTCGGGGCTGCCAGGATTTGCCATCTGTGTGCGACTCGTGCAGCCTGGGAGCTCAGGGCACCGGGGTTTGCTCAGTCTGCTGGGGTTTGCCTGGTGGCGTACACCTCACACAGCTCCAGCCACTCCCAGAAGCCCACACGCCACCTCTAGCAGGAGCTATGTACCCGCTGCCGCGCTTCCTGGACAGCGAGTTAAGACTTGCCTTGTGTCTGGACCTTCCGAGGAAGTCCAGAGGGGAGTCCCCCGCGGGGCCTGTGCTAGTCCCCAAGTCAGGCCTCGACCCCCTCCCACCACCCTCTCACCAGCTGGTGCGCCCCGTAGTCTAGAAACGAGGAGCCCTTTCAACTTATGTTTTGTTCTTTCAATCTCTTTCCTGATTTTAAAAAGAGGCCCCGGCATGTATTTATTTTCTTTTTTTTTTAATTAAAGTTGAGCGAAACAAATTTAGTTTTATGTGTTTTCCTGAGGAATTCTCACTCCCAAGAGGGTTCGCTGCTTTCCAGTGCTCCCATTCCCACCCCTTCACCTGAAGTCCGTGAAGTGGCCGTGAGAGGGCTTCGGGGGCCGGCGGGGTGCACGCACCAGCCCTGATGACGTTAGTCCACAGGGCTTTAAATAACTTTTAGTTAGCTGCCAACGTTTAAACAATTTCTCAGTTCGTATTTTGAAGACTAACACATTTCTGTCCATATACATGTTTTATTTATTGAGTTTGTGTAGCTCCGTATCTGTGTATGCACCTTATGTGTGTATATGTGCCTGTGCGTAGATGGGGGGGAGGTGCGGCTTAGTGGTCAGAAGCTGCATCGGGGGGGGTGTGTTTGTGTGTGTCCTAGTGGTCAGGGGCTGCATCGGGGGTGTGTGTGTGTGTGTGTGTGTGTCCCTGTGTGTCCCTAGTGTTCAGGAGCTGCAGCAGCTGCTCCAGGGGAGAAAGACGGGCAGTCATCAGTGCAGTTACTGCCTCTGAAAACCCGCCAGAGGGTCAGCTCTGAGGCGCATCGAGCTCGGTGGTACAGCCGTAAGTGTATCTGCGTGAGCAGAAGTGTCCGCAGCCTGTGTTCACACATTGTGTGCGTCTGCCATCTGGCCTCCTGGGTCCCTCATTCCCTCCTCCCAGTGCCAAGTCCCCCTGTCCAAGAGGTGGAGGACACCTTCCGAATTTAGGAAGAAAGAGAACCTCTCAGTGCACCCCATGGCCATCCAGTCAGCCAGGCCCGGAACATTGGCGGCACCGTCACAGGGGACCCCTGTACAGCACCCAGAAGATGCTGGACCCCCTGAGTGTCTTGGTTCCTTGGATGCAGCAGGCAGGCCCCGCCTTCAGCCAACACTAACACATTCCAGTGGTCACCAGCAGGGGGCGGCGGCAGCTCGCTTGTCTCCAGACACTAGATGTTCTGGCTGCTGTGTTTACCAGAAAGACCTGTGAAAACCGGCTGCAGTTGGTCAAGATGAAAATCACACAATCCTGGCAATTACTGTATCTTCTCTGAGTGCGTAGCATGTACCAGGCACTGTTCTTGGCAGCTAACACATAGGAAGTTCTGGTCCCTACAGCCCTGAGAAGTATGCCCAGTGCATGGACGAAAACATCAGTGCACAGAGAGGAGGGAGGAGGAGCCTGGCCGTTTCTGGGCCTCCTCAACCAGGTAGATTGATGCAGAGACAGCAGTAGTGGGCTTGTGGACGTTGACGGGACAGCGGTCAGACCTGTTGTTTATAAGGCCACCATCAGTCGTACTCATCGACACCTAACAACAGCAATGACATGGTTGGGACAAGCTCTGATTGGCAGCCCCTCGCCTCTTCTCACGTGACCCACACAGCCCCCTCGGCCAAACCCTTGGCGTGACTGCTGAGTGGCATCATTGGATGCTGTGGCCCAAAGGAAGAGCCCTCTGGTGGGCTCGGAGCTGCCATCTTAATGCTCTGATCTGGAAGTGACCTTTGTACTCACAAACCATCGGCCAGGTCGGGTCGTGTGGCCAGCAGGGCTCAGAAACCAAGAGCTACACACCGTTACTGTGCAGTTGGCTCAGCGTTTCTTCCCGACACTGAACCTATCTCCCTGTTGGCCACGTGGAAGTACACTGTGGACATCAGTGGATGCTATAAATCTGGTCAGTGGCATCTGCATCCCTGGTGGTGCAGTGAGTGTGAGCAAACCCACCAGCTGCTCTGAGAAAGAAAGATGGTAGAAAATCTGTGGGACATCTCTTTATAGGGTCTCTCAGCCAGAATCAGCTCAGGGACAATGGCTTTGTTTTAGTTTGCCAGGTCGGGGAGGGAAGAGTGAAGCTGATGCTAACTAAGGGTCTGTTCTGTCTGCACAGAGATCGAAAAGGCTCTACTGGAGCTTGTGTGTGATCTGTCATCTCAACGCATCCACCCAACCATCCCGTTCAATCCTACCGTCTTCTCATGGCAAACCCCTGACAGCAACTAGCAAGTTTCCTTATCCATTACTTTATCCATCCCCCACTGACCCACGCACCCGCTAATCCACCCATGTGCCCACTAACTCACCCGAGTACCCACTCATCCATCCACCACCTGCCCATGTACCTACTAATCCGTTAGCCCACTCACCCATTTACTCATCTACCCACCAAGCCACGCCTCACCCATTCATCCATGTCCCCACTCTTCCTTCCACCCACCCGTCCATGTCCCCACTCTCCCATGTACCCACTCTTCCATCCACCCACTCACCCATGTACCCACTTATCCACCCATCCATCCATGTGCCCACTTATCCACCCACTCACCCATGTCCCCACTCTTCCTTCCACCCACCCGTCCATGTCCCCACTCT